TTTTTTTTTTTTAATACTATTAGGTTTGGCTAACCTATGCTTTATTTAGTTTTGTTTGTTTTTGCATCTATAGTCACAAGTGAAGTTTTTCTTAATTTTTTTTCTCTTGAATTCTCCTTATTTTTGGAATCATTTTAACACTAGTCTCAAAAAGAGCTAGGCAGGTTTTATTCCTTTTATGTTTTATGGAGAAACTTACATAAAACTAGTGTTCTCAAGTATAGTTAAACTGTAAAACTTCTAATTCTGGTTTAATTGGTTTTTTAATTGCCCTAAAGAGAGATCTTTGCCTTTTTAATTTACTTAATGCTCATTGGTTTACTCAAGTTATTAATGTCTTTCCAATTTGAATTTTTATATTTCTCTGCAGCCTTTTCATTTTCATCTGTGTGTTCAGATTAATCAATATCTAGTCCATAATTATTTCCCTTTTCCCTTTTGTTTGAGTTTTCCCATTTTCCTGATCTTATAGTCTTTATAGAGAAGCAGCATTTGGTTTTTGGTCTTTATTTTACTTATTTCCAATTTAATTGCCATTTTCTTCTCTCTCCTGGTTTTTTCCCCCGTTATTCATTCTTCACACTATTGAATTGAATGATATGCTTCAGTCATTCTTAATCCTGTTTCCTGAAAATGATTTCAAATTTTTTTTTTCTTTTTGAGACAGAGTCTCACTCTGTTGCCCTGGGTAGAGTGCTACGGCCTCATAGTTCACAGCAACCTCAGTCTCTTGGGCTCAAGTGATCCTCTTGTCTCAGTCTCCTAAGTAGCTGGGAGTACAGGTGCCTGCCGCCACACTGAGCTATTTTTAGAGATGGGGTCTCACTCTTGCTTAGGCTGGTCATGAACTCCTAGCTCAAGTGATCCACCCACCTGGGCCTCTTAGAGTGCTAGGATTATGGGCATGAGATATGGCCCTGCACCTGGCCAAATTATACCAAATTACAATTTTTTCATGTCAGTACTGCTGCTTAAATGTGTTTCTAGATTCAGACATAATGATATTATCATCTATCAGTTCTAGCTGTTCTCTTATTTCCTTTTTTAATGCAAGAGTTATCCATCCTCCTTCTCCCTGCCCACAATGTTGTCAGTTTTCAGGCTGTTTGAGATATAGTGATATTCATGATGCTTAACATTTTTTCGATTCATTGTCCTTTTTATCTGTACATAATCCTTTTCTTTTTTCTTCTTTGCATTGAATTCGGTTTTATGAGATACTATAAATACTGCTTCTTAAGTTCTTCTTGGTTAATATCTCCAATAGGTTCTTTTCTATCATTTTGGCCCAAGGATAATTTAGACTTTTTAAGAAAACTTTATGGCGGTGCCTGTAGCTCAAGCAGCTAGGGTGCCGGCCACATACACCGGGGCTGGTGGGTTTGAATCCGGCCTGGGCCTGCCAAACAATGACGAGAATTGTAACCAAAAAATAGCCAGGCATTCTGGCGGGTGCCTGTAGTCCCAGCTACTTGGGAGGCTGAGGCAGGAGACTCGCTTGAGCCCAGGAGTTGGAGGTTGCTG